TTCACGAATATATTTATTTTATCATCAAGTTTAATGGTTCAAAACTAATCCTGTCATCAATAGAATTTTCTTATCTGTAATATTAAGTATTTTGACTGTCATAAAAACTTGTCATACTTGCAATACTCATCAAACTTGCATTATGCTGTACTCTTAGCCGTGATGGCTCAGGGGATAGAGCGCTCACCTCCCAACAAGATGCACCAGGTTCAAATCCCAGGTAGGGCTGGTAATTACGAATTCTGCACCCGGCTTCCACCGACCATAGTGCTCTTATCAAATAGCCTCGATGATAGGCGAATAATGGGTGAGAGTCCTCTTGCCATTAGGGTGCCTGTGGGAGATTTTCATTGTTTTCTTTTTTATTTAACAAAAATGAGGGTTAGTTCCATCAAGGCAAATCCTCCATGAAGGCAAATTTCTTTCAATATTTGATCCAAGAGTTCCTTTGTTTCTAGATTAGGTTCAAAATTACAAGGCTACGGAGTTGAACATTGGTAGTCGTAAATTCAAAATTGGACCAGTTGTCGACCGTCGGTTATAAAGTAAAATATGCTGTACTCATTACATAGAGCTTTTACTGTATTTTGGTGTAAATTTTTTTAATGTTATGTGTTTTACGCTTATTAATTTTTAATTTATTTTTCCACTATACTAAAAGAATTTAAAGTTATACTCTTCGCAAGTAATTTTTTTTTTTTTTTTTTTTAAATCCATTTTAGTCTTACCGACTCTTTCTATTCGTGTAAAAAATTTCTGAATGTTTATTGAATTTTGTAAATATTTGTCAACTAATATATATATATATATATTACTTAACTTTTTTTTTAATGACACACTGATAAAAATGGTATGTTAAAAGTGATAAAATTTTCTACATTATTCTTACTCTGGGGAATACAAATTTGTATTGCAAATATCAGAATGCACCAATCAGAGTTTGGAGATGGTGTTTATTTGATATTATAAACTTAAAAATTGTGTTGTGTAGTTTGATAATTTGTTTATTGTTTTTTTTTTATTAAACCTTAACTTGGTGTTTTGAATTTACATAGCAAATTTGTGATTTTTTTTCACAAGATTTATTTGACCAAAGTATCTTCCTGTATGCAAATTGTTTTCCAAAGGTAATAAAATATAACTCTTTCAACATATTATAATTTTCCAATATGTTGGCATTTTTTTTTCACGTGCAATCAAATTATATATATTTAATTTATCAATATATCTGGCAACATATATGTATTGCAGTGCTCTCACTACAGCACGAGAATCTCGCCTATTTCTTTTCTTTTCTCGCAATAAAAGACGATTAACGCGAGAAATTCGTGCACTCTATAAATCGCTTTCAAAATGCACGAATTTTGAAAAAAATTTCGTCTTTTGCCATTTTGAATAAAATCCGTTTCACTTTTCTTTCTTGATCTTTCATTATTTTAAACATCGGTCCTTGTTATCTAGCTTCGCTTCCCTATTTATCAATATTGTTCAGAACCGGTGTGAACAGCAGAGCACCCCCCCCCCCCGCCTNGAACCCCTTTCAGAACACATTTCTCTGCAACCACGTGTTCACTGTAGGTAAGGTTTCTTCATGTAAGACGTTTAAATTTTTTGTGCATGAATGTAAGATGGACAAATACCTTGTTAAGGTGACATCTTCTACTCCGTAACGGACAAATGAAAATGAAACAAATGTTGGTAGAAACGGTCAAAACTAAACAAATACGGATATTTTTCATCCAAATAAATATAATAGCTGATGAAAAAGTAGATGTAGAACATTTTCCTTATGATGATGCAGCAAAAATATTCAATTAAAAGATGTGAAAAATGTATTATAGTTAAAGAAATAATTTTTTTCCAAGTCTATTCGTTTTCTTTTAATTTTTAGAAATCTCACATAACTTTTTGAAATCTTGCCCTGTTTTTGAGAAAGGGTGAGAAATTCTCTCCCATGTTTTTTCTGTAATGAATACACTGTATTGTTATAAATATTGTTCTATCAACAAAAAAAAAAAAAATCATTCATTCTTACATGTGTCTGTAAGATTCATTAGTTTTGCATATATGTTTAAAAATTCTCTTTCAATAATTTTTTTACTCTCATTTCGTAGACAGTGAGGTGCCAAAACTTCCTTGGCAGGATGAAGGACATCATTTATATTTATATTGAATTATATTCCAAAACATTTCTACTTAAACTAAAAATTTTTTTCAAGTATTCTCTAACAATAAGTTATTAATTAAAACATACTTTAATAATATAAAAATGATTTTATGAAGGAAAAATATAAAATGATAAAAAGGAAGTGTTTATAACTATAGAAATTGTAAATTTAAAATAACAGAGATTTTTACCAAAAATTACTAACTTGTAAAAATAACTAAAAAAAATTGCTGATAGGCTAATAATTTAAAAAAAATGTATGCAACTGCAATTAACAATTTTATATTTGACAAGAAGTGCAAACTGCACCTAAGATTATATAGAATAATAATAAAACGGCTTAATTTTATTTCTTCTAGCATTATGAACCAAGTTCTTCTCAAGTTAGAGTGATTCAGAATGTATTTCTAATTCTAGGTTTGAGTGTCAATGATTTTTTAAAACTTTTTATGATATTTCATTGTAAAGTTGTTTCTGTTCTTTATTTTTGGTGCCGCTTGCATCCCTGTAAAATGCATAAATACGAACATTTTAGTGCCAAAACAGTGTGTGTGTATATATATATATAATGGGTTGGGTGGCCCTAAGTATGCTTGGTACTCTTTTTATCGACCCACTGAAAGAATGAAAGGCTGAGTCAACCATGCCTGGTTCGAGGATAGGACCCAGAAACTGTGGCCTGAGAGCGCTATAATTCTGGAATTAGAATATGTAAGCTTATATAATCGTGCCTCGGGGAACACTAGAATGTTTCGATGTCAAGGGACAGCATTTTATTTGGAACAAAAATGCTGAGTCGTCGAAACCATTGATTTTAAAAACACTGAAGCCTGAGGTAAATTATTTGTATTTCACATAAATATAAAGTAATAATGAACAAAGATTTAGCTGAATAGCATTTTTATAGCTGAAATTTCATGCCCTGTTATAAATAATGAATCAGCTAGTGTAAATATTATTTACTAAATATTACTTGTTACAATATTAATATGAATGCAAAAGTATAAAAAAAGAAGAAGAAAAAATTTGTGAAAAAAATATTAAAGATTGAGTTTGAAAAAGAGTTGAATAGATTAGACAGCGAAAGTTATTAACTAAACAATATAGGGGGGGGGGAGTATAGTATCAAAATTAATACTGTATAATAATTTGCAGCAATTTTAAACTCTTAAACTAAAGAACTGATATTATCACATTGCTAATCAAGACCAAGAGGACAAAAAATATAGCATTTAAGAAATGTGCAAATTGTCATGTAGTAATGGGATGTTGGTTAGCAAAATTTTATTTAAAAAAGATAATTTGACCACTTAAAAATAAAATTATTAATATATAAATATGCGACAGCAAAGGAAATAGAAAAGACACTACTAGCTTAAGTTTACTTGACAGAACTTATCACAAAAATTAATTTGTGAATTAATCCCTAATAAGCCAGAAGCCACATTGCAAATTGCAATATCCAACGTCAATCGCAGTACCCATTATCAGTCTATGAAAATAACATTTTTCCCTTTGTTTATTCCTCAACCTCTTTGGAAATAATATTAAAACATAATTTTTTTTAAAAAAAATTCAAAAAAATGATAAAAGAAGAGCAGAAAATTACAAATCTGAGAAAAAAAATCCTACATAAGAAACGAAGGAAATAATTTTGCTACAATAAATGCATGTTGTACAGTGTATTCTGTAGTGATTAGCCATAAAATATATTTTTTGAAATTTTTTCAAAAGTGAAGTAAAAAAGAAAGGCATCTACATCAATAGTTGTATACTACTACAGTGATTGTGAAACAAAAGCGCTTTTGAAATCTGACGAATCATTAGTGAGGAAAGCATAATAAATACCAATTTGATCACCAGATAAACCTGCATTTCTTAAAATTATCTTTTAACTCCTCTATCTTCTCAATACAAAAACTTTGTAATTCAAAATATGAGTAAATTATGAGATCTATGGTATAATTAATTGCTATATCAAGAATAGGTATGTGTCACTCATTAATTTAATCTCTCTCTTTTGGTTCTTTAATCTGCTCATTCATTGATTCATTAATCAATAGGTTTTCTGATTCAATAATTTTGTGGAAGATTATTTAAATGTGTTTGATAAGATGTTTTCTTAATCAAATTTTATTTGAAAAAAGTTCTTTTTTTTGGGGGGGGGAGGAGGAAGTAATGCCATTAGGGTTAAGATGAACTTAAAAGGGTTCGCTTTAATTCGAATTTATTTTTATTTTTTTATAAAAATATTACAATACATAGACATTTTGTATTAACTATGCATGATCGGGCCTGTAGTCAAGAAAGGGTCAGTTCGACCTCTTAGTTAACCAGGTTCAATTGTACAAAGCAATGTTGCAAGCACGTAAATGTATGCATGTTTGCCACAAATATTGATTTAGACATAGTTTTGAACTCTTTCTAGTTTACTCCTTATCTCCTTAAAAAATTTTTTTAACAGTGTCATTATTTTTAAGAATTTTTTAAAAATAAATTATTGCTTTTTATAAATATTGTTTCAAATACTTTATTCTTATAATATTTCATCACATGTTCTCCTATAGAATCATATAAAAAATAAACGAAGCTGAGTTTATACCTGAGTTTATGTTCTTTTTTTTTGCATTAATAATTATTTTTTATGCGCATAAAGTTTTAATTTTTGTACCTATAGAAGAATAATTTAAAACAGTTTTTTCTTCAACTTTTCATGGATTATTTATTTTCCTTTTTGCTGCAACTGTATATGTAATGAAGTTGATTGCATTTATATTCATAGTGTATAATTTATCTTCTTTATTTTATCTGCATTTGTATTTTTCTTTTTTAGATGCTGGGATGATGCCAACTCAGAATAATGGAAACAAATATGCTAGACGCTAACAATGTTCGTGCTAGTGTTTTGGACTGTTATGTTTTCACATTTTGATCTAATATCATCTTTTTTTTAATATTAGAATCTCTGTTTCAAAAGCAATCATTCACTATATTTTTACTGAATTGTGTAAATATGTATTTTTAAGTTTTCTCATCTCATACTTAAATTCACAAAATTAATTACGTATTAAAGTGAGCTTACGATTATGTTATTCTTTGTTTCATTTGTCGCATACACCATCTTTCTCACGCAACTCTTGAGAAGAAAGTGTAAATCACTAGAAAATATTTTTAATAAAAATTTAGTCTTTTCACTATTTAAACTTGTTTTTATTTTTATCATGTTTTTAAAAAATATGGAAAATAAATTGACAATTGACTTGTCATTATAATCATTTAATAATTCATCTTGAAGTTTTAAATGGCTAAAGTTTTAAACTACTGTAAAAATTCTGAAAATTGAATTGAATACTATAAATTGAATTTTTTTTTATGACTGAAGCCACACATTTTGATACTATCTTTATGCCTCATTATAAGTTTGGTCTTAATATAACTTTATTATTTTATATACACTGATAAAACATTTTGATTACAAACTTTATGCCTCATTTAAGTTTAGTCTTAACATAATTTCATTTTAATCAACACTGATAAAACATTTAAAATGCGAGGCTGCTAGTCTTTGTTACGGTGGCTTTTAACTTAGTAGGCTTTTGTATATTATTGATGGACAGGTTATTCAATAATCGTCAGCAAATTTTTAAATTTGTACGCAGTTCGAAATGAGTGTTTAGAAAAATGAGGGATTAAAAAAGTGGACTCAGCTCAAAATGAGTGTTTAAGAAAATAAACACGGCTTGAAATACGCATATACGAAACTGGATACTGCTTAAAATGCGTGTTTAAAAAAATGGATGCAAGTTAAAATACTTATTTGCGAAAATGGATAGCTATTTAGGAAAATAGACATAACTTTTAATTTCATTCTTGAAACTTTTATGAGTATTGTTCTTTTTTAAAGAATAAACTAATGAATTCAAATAAATTTGTTGTGATATTATCAATTTGCTTATATCACTTGGTACATTTTATGAAATTTTTTTTTTTGGAAAAGATTTTAAGTCAACAGTTATTTTTACAAGAACGTAACCATGAATATTATAAATAGCCTTGTTGATTGCATTATAATAAAGTTGTATGAATTTAGAGTTTTAAAACCCTACAATACAATAATGGACGAAGCAATTTAAGTTTTTAACATTTTTTAAAATTTCTCCAGAAATATTTAAAGTATGTATTTTATTTTATAATTTTAGAGATGTTTAGTTCATGCAATTTTTCATATTTAGCCATAAGATTTAAAGCTTTCAGAGGTTTGGGAGACCAACAATAAGTTACAAAAGAAATCAAGTATTATTGAGCACTTTATGTCAGAAAATCTAGCTACAAGCTTTTAACTTGTATCGATAACTTTGGTTGCTATTTTTAATAACTGCATAAAATTTTGTAAACCTAAAGTAAATTCTTATGGAGATATGGACATTTTTTTAAAAGAAAACTAATCTTTTTTCCTTACGTTTTTTTGCTATAACTTTATAAATATTCAATGGAAATTAACAAAATTTTTGGAGCAAGTTAATATCAATTACAAAATTATTGATTTAAAGTTTTAAAACAGGATGCACAGGATATAAGTATTTAAGGTAGTTCTTTCATACTGTGCATGCACAGAAAAATTTTAAAAAGTTTCTTCCTAATTTAATTGGGAATCGTATTTGGCAAGTAATGAAAAAAATTATATTTGGATATCTTACAAATTTAAAAAGTTTCAAGCAATTTTCTATGTAGTTTTTGTACTTTTTTTAAAAGAAAGTACAAAATGATCAGGGGTTTTCCACAAATTTTATTTCGTGTCATAAGACAAATTTAATAGCAAATGATAATACCTTGCAATTATTGTCCAAAAAAACTGACTTTTATGGGGATGATCTCTCCCAATGCTGGTTTCATTTTTAATAATTCTTGTTTAATAGTATAAAATGAAGATTGTGGAAAACCCCTTATCGTTTTGAGCTTTCTTTTAAAAAATACAAAGACTACTTAGAAAATTGCTTGAAACTTTTTAAATTTTAAAGAGATTCAAGTGAAAAGTTTTTTATATTTGCCAAATATGATTCGCTACAAATTTATGACATTTTTTTCAATATTATTTGTGTGCATGCACAGTATAAAAGAACTATTTTAAATACTCATCTTGCACAGTTTTAAACGATTTTTTTAGAAATTTTCTATCAATAAATTTGTAATTAATTATAATTGCTCCTAAAAATAATGTTTATTAAAAAAAAATTTGTTTTTTATAAAAATGTCTATATCTCCATAAATATTTACGGTAGGTTTGCGAAATTTTATGCCGTTATGAAAAATTACAACTTAATCTATACAAGTTTATTGCTTGATTTTCTGGCTTAGGGTGTTCAAAAATACTCCATTTCTTTCATAATTTATTGTAGTTTTCCCTCACCTCTGAAAGCTTTAAATCTTATTGCTAAGTTTGAAAAATCGTATAAACTAAACACCTCTAAAGTTACAAAATGAATATTTTAAGTATGTCTTGACAAATTCTAAAAAAAGTCAAAAACTGAACGTGTCTCTTCCATTATTGTAGGGTAAAGTAGGTGCTTAAATTAAGTAATGAAATAATTTTAAACGAATTTAAATTTTATGTCAATAAATTTGTAATTAATTTTTAATTGCTCCTAAAAATGTTGTTTGTTTCAAAGAAATTAGTTATTTTTTTATAAAAATGTCCGTATTTCCATAAATATTTACACTAGGTTTATGAAATTTTATGCAGTTATTAAAAATAACAACTTAATCTATACAAGCTTATTTAATTTTCTGGCTTAGGGTGTTCAAAAATACTCCATTTCTTTCATAATTTATTGTAGGTTTCCCACACCTCTGAAAGCTTTAAATCTTATTGCTAAGTTTGAAAAATAGCATGAACTAAACACCTCTCAAGTTGAATATTTTAAGTATTTCTTAATAATTTAAAACAAAGTAAAAAACTGAAAGTGCCTTCCATTATTGTAGGGTAAAGTAGGTGCTTAAATTAAGTAATGACACTGGTGACATAGCATTGGATATGACATCTTGTATCCACTAAATTTGAAGAGGTTGTGGTTCTTGTGCAAGTTTAGTATAAGTGTGATTTCTAGTAGATTTACGTTTTTGTCCTTAATCATCTTTCTTTTGAAATCAATTTTGTAGCTCATTCTAAAAATGAGTAGTGTTAATATCGAACGATGGTATGATATCAGATTTTGTTTCAGACTTGGTCAGCTTAAACTTATATAAAAACTATACAGTATTTAAATCGTCAATAGCTCGGGTTTTTCGATGGCTTGAGGCATTTTCAGAAAGAAAAGACTCATAGGAAGATGAATCGTGCAACAAAAAAAAAAAAAAAAAAGCAGACCGCCGAAGAATTTAACTGAATTTGGGATCTTGAGTTTTCAGACTGTTGACTATGGTCAGAATTATCAGATAACATTTGAATTTGTGTCACACGCCTTCAACATATTTTGGGATAATGAATTGAATTTGAACTACAAAGAAGGATCATGCTTGTGATCATGCATGCAGACCAAATGTCAAGAGAGTGGCAAAGCGCCATTTTACTCTGCAATATCAATAAATTTGTTCCTTTTTGAGCTCTACCTGAGACTGAAAATTCATCTCAAAGGGAGGTAGTTTTGGAATATTACAAAACACTTAAAAGGATCAGATAAAGGCTATTACAATATCTGAGTACTAGCACTGCTATTAAGAGAGGAAGGATCGTCACCAACCAACGACGTGTAGTTTCCCCTTGCAAATTATTCCAATGGAGACAATATTAAATTGTAATTATATTCGAATGAAAAATATTTAAATTATATATAATTACTCCTTGTATCTAACCATCCATATTTTAAATTTCGGGATTGGGCAGTGCCCCATAATGATTATGCTTATTGTTTACGTAAAAAGGAAAAAGTAAGCTCATAAGTTGTTCAGTTTGAATTGAAAACTGGAAATTCGCATTTTTTTGTTGTGTCTATTTTTGTAAACACACATTTTAAGCTGTGTTCATTTAACCATTTTCGTTAACACATATTTCAAGTTCAAATTTAAAAAAATGCCAATGTAATGTTTATTTTTTAAAAGTCTGCTATTTCTGTACATCAATCAGCAGGTAATGCCTTAAAATTTTACTTTTAACTCTTATTCAATATTTTAATGCATTGTTAATTATTTTTTTAAATATTTAAAAAAAAAAAAGTAAAGTATTTTTAGAGAATTTGTATGTTTTTTTAAAAAATTTTCGCAAGTACATTAAAAAAATAACAAGTGCATTATAACCTTATCTTTAACATAGAATAATTTAGTTTTAAATCTCAGTTGTATACTCGCCCAATTTTGAATTTTTCTTTTCCCATGTAAATTCTCAAAATTATCACACTTGAAAAAGGTTGAGCTGGAAACCTTTTTTATATCTCATCCAACCTATTTTGTCGTTAGACAGAAAGAGTTTAAATAATAATATAAATAAATTTAAAAACAAATACTTGTAAGGTCATTGAAGATTATAAAATAGTTTTATTAAGAGACCTGAAATGAAAAATAAGAAGAGTCGAAGTGGTGAAAAATAAGAATAAAAAAATAGCCCTTTCTCATTTTTTAAAAGTGATGTATCTTACTTTTTTTGTTTGTCTTAGGTGTGATAGAAATAAAACTGATAACTCTTCTTTACTCTTAACTGATAACTCTGGAGACGTTTTTAATTTTATTATTATTGTTTTTCTCTTTCAATTTAAATTTCAATCTTTATGTATAACAAAAATGGCTAGATACAGAAATTAGCTAACTTTAAGTTTTATAATAACTTAACTTCAAGACAATCAATTATTTTCACCCGTGTTTACTTGAAAGAGACAACTTCCCTAATGGATAATAAAGTGAGCGCTTGTATGTTATTAGATCTTAGTATGCTTTATTAAATAGTATGAGGAACTGAAACAGATCAGAATATCCTGAAATATTTGTAGCAGAAAGTCTGATGGTATAAGAAAATCGCTCATGGCCATGGGGTAAAACAACGAAAGATAGCTAATAACCGGTTTTCGTTTGCCAACTCTGGCAACTAAAAATATGCATTTAGTAGAGATGCTTTAAAAGATGGAAGAACGGATGAAAGCAAGCCAAGAGAAGATAGAGTTCAAGTTAGATGCCAATCAGAAAGAAAAAAACAAACAAATATCCTGTGCAA